AAGGAAAATACAGAATTATATAAACACTGCTCATAACCATGTAAAAACACAGTATTTGTGGGGCACCTGGATGGCTCAGTCAATTGAGCAGCTGACTCTCAATCTCAGCTCAGGTCTTGATCTCAGGGTCATGAGTTCAAGCCCCACATTTGTCTCTGCACTGTGCCGGAAGCCTACCTAACACACAAAACAAAAACTCACAGTATTTGAGTATTGAAAATGGACTCCCCACCCCTCCCACCGCCATATCATACCTCAGGCTTAAAGGGATTTTTCAATAAGAAAGAAAAAGATTAGGATAATGATTTCCAAAATAGGTCAAGGCAAAATGACAAAAGTCAGAATAATATAAAAAGCTTTTCATAAAGTTAAATGAGTTTAAAGAATGATCCATTACATCTCGTTCTTTGACGTAGAAGTTTTTTTTTCTTTTATGAAATGAGGTACTAGTAGATAATGTTTTAGGTTTGTTTTATGCCCTTGAAAAAATTCAAAATTGGCAATTCTAGATCTCCCAATTTTGTTTCTTCACTTTTATCTTTCCAGTGTTTGAAATCTGTATCTAGAAACCACAGGATCAGTAGCCTTTAGTTGATAGAACTCTTATTAAATTTTCTGCTTTTCCTCTTCTTCTCTTTTCCTCTTTTCTTTTTTACTTTTCTAACTTCCTGGATTTTTATAGAAGAAATGGGCACTGCTTCTGTTTTTTCAATGTATTTATTTACTTATTTATTTGTTTTTAAGTGTTTATTTATTTTTGAGAGAGAGAACATGCGTGTGATCAGGGGAGGGGCAGAGAGAGGATAGGGGACAGAGAATCTGGAGCAGGCTCCGTGATGACAGCAGCAAGCCCGATGTGGGGCTCGAACTCATGAACCATGAAATCATGACCTGAGCCAAAGTTGGATGCTCAACTGACTGAGCCACCCAGGTCCCCTGTTTTTTTCATATTATTAATATATTCTAACTTGGCTTACATTTGTAATATGTGTATGAATTAGCAATACGCTACATGCACATAGGTAAAAACACAAATGGTAAAGAAGGATTAACAATGAGATGCAATAAGTGTTTGCTCTAGCTCATGCCACTTCAGACCCACTCCAACCAGAGTGCTTCCATTTTTAGATATGTATCTACATACTGCCTTTTTTTTTTACTTCTCCATTTTGAACTTTATCTGTTAACTTCCTGCATGAGAGACACCACTCCCATACACAAGCCACACCTAACTACTTTGTACCTTCTGCACAGCTGTCTTTCTGACCTTTTCTTCATCCTGCTTCTGAGTTGAAGCCACTTTCCCTGGATCCCAGATCTTCCTCTTTCTTATTTGTGCTGAGGTAGATTCTCAAGTAACTTCCAGGAAGGCCGGCAAGAGATAAACTTGCTGGTCCAAGAATGTCTTTATGTTCAAAACCTCACATTTGATTGCTGATTTGACTTTGGGATAAAATCCTGAATTCGCAGTCATATCCCTTTAGAGTAGTGCTGTCCAACAGAACTTTCTGTGATGGTGGAAATGTTTTGTATCTGCATCATCCAATATGGTAGCCATTAGCCAGCATAGGTATCCAGTGCTTGAAATGTGACTGGTATACCTGAGGAGCTGAATTCTTAATTTCATTTCATTTCAATTAATCTCAATAGGTACCTGTGAGTGCTGGCTACTGTATTACCCAGCAAGCCTTAGCTTGTTGAAGGCATTGTTTTTTTCTCTTGTACCTATTGTTACTGATGAGAAGCCTGATGCTTATATGAATTTATTCCTTTGTAGCAAACCTGATAGTTTTCCTTTGGAAGCATTCAGCCTCCTGATTGTTCATGTTCTGAAATTTCAGTTTGTGTACCTTTGGGTCATTTTGCATTCAGTGTGTTGTACTCTAGAAGCCAATGTGATGGCTCATGTCTGTCATCTGTGGAAAATTCTTCTAGTACTAATTGTTTTGACTTCATCATTCTCTGTAGTCTTTTTGGAATTTCTTTGATTTCTATTCGGACCTCCTTTTGTAAATTGTACGTCTCTTTTTTTTCTGTGTCCTTTCCCTTCATTCTCTTTGTCCTTTTCATTTGAGAGATCTCTTCAACTCTTCTGTTGAATTCTTTGTAACCAATCATTTTTATGTCCCAGTGGCTGTTTCTTGGTTTTTTCCATCATACTTTATTCTGCTTTTATTGGTAAAGTATATTTTTCACTGCCTTTGAGGATTCAGGCCTTACTCCTTTGGTCCCTAAATTATCTCTTTCCTTTCAGGTCCTTTTTTTTTTTTTTTTTTTTAAGTTTATTTATTTATTTTGAGAGACAGAGAGAGAGAGAGAGAAAGAAAGAAAAAGAAAGAAAGAAGAAAAAAGAAGAAAGAAAAGAAAGAAGAAAAGGAAAAAGAGTGTGTGCATGAATGAGAGAAAAGAAAAGAAAAGAGTGTGCATGGGCAGAGAGAGAGGAGAAAAGAAAAGAAAAGAGAGTGTGTA